CTGGTGACGAATCCGCGAAGGATTTCGAAACAGCAGGCAAATAAAAGTATTGTCCCCGCGATCGATTCGTCGTTCTCTTCTTTTTCTTTTTCTTCTATTCTTCTTAATTACAGTCTTTGCCGACAACACCACCTGCCTAAATTGCTAGTTACTATGTGCCTGCTGGCAAAACTCAAGGATTGGCCGCAAGACAGAGTGGAACTGGTGAGTTTCCTTAGCGATCAATGAATATTTATCTCCGAGTGCCACTACACTAATCATACATCAAATGGTCACAACCTACAATTGGCTAGAACTTCTCACAGCCAGCAGATAATAGGGGCAACAACACGGATCCTAGTTCTCGCGGATTCGTGTCATTGAACGCATGCATCCTACACCATCAGGTCGCATCCTACAAACTCGATTTAGATGACATAGACATGTAGGAAAAGCAGTTAAGTTGCAACATATTTTGTAAGTAGTTCTACTGTGCATGGTGCATAAACATTACGGTGCAAAATTAATGTGAAGCAACTGTGGACTTTTGAGCGACGATGTAAGCATTCAAGAAGTCAGATGTGGCGAACCTTCATTTTGAATTATTCATCAACAGACAATTACAAATATTTTGAATAAGAAGACGTTCTTTTTGATATAACGTGACTTAAATAAGTGAATTTCGAGTTTGTTGTCCGAAGACGAGCTTGTGCATTGGGCACGAAAAGTCACGTTATGCCTCCGGTCCTCCTAACTGAGAATATATAGTCGCATGATTTGTTTCTAACTTTCTCAGCAAATCACTCTTCCAGTCGCCCGAATGATGATTTCGGCAATTACATAATTTAGAAATTTCACAGTTGGAAAGTTTTATTTTCAACACTCACAATGCCCTGAAGGAAGAGCAATTGGGGTAAATAGCCTCTAATAAGCAAACAGCTGTGCTATAATTTCCATTTGGATTCTAGACTTCATAACCAAAGTTTTATTAGCAGAATTACTTCGCCTCTATCTACGATGTCGCCTAGAAGGAAAGCTTATCATTTCTTTTGCACTTTCGAGTCATGCCGAAGCCTATCAGCCTATCAGGATCCTAGTGCGTACTGGTGAAGACCGATAGACACTGACCGATCGATAAATCATCATTCAAATCAGTAGCGGCAGTCGGCTGAATGCAGGGCATTTGCTGAGTCATGGGTCAACGCGCAACACGACCAATGCGTTCGTCTGTGGCAAGACAGAGGCAACCCCGACGATTGACCTTCAAATGGCAGCGGAGGACTCTACATCCTACACCTTCCTGTGAAGGCAACTTGGACAAGTTATAGTTCGATGTGGGTGTGCAAACGGGACCAAGAATTGGCGGTCCAGCGGAAAACCCAGGGAATGGGGCTATGCCAACTCTCACTGTAAAGGGTGACTTGCCTACCAACCAAAAGTATGTAAAGAAAGGAGGGAACGCACCGAAGGACGAAGACAAATACGGCCGGCTCTTCGATAGAATCATGGACCTCTTGGATAGGGATGTGGCCGAGAGTGCTCGGACAAGCAGCTATCTGCAACAATGTATGCGTGCCGACATTGGGGCCACACAGAAGTCAGCCGCTGCATTGCCCTGGCCTGGTTCACATTCGCTGGTTGTCCCAGGTGCATTTGGCGAATGCGCAGTTAATGCACCAAGCAACGTCCGTGGACGGCTTGACGGTAGGCATTCTGGGTGAGGCGGCACTCATTTTCACAGTTAAAATTCAATTCGGTAAAATGCCAAGGACTAAGGGCGATTGCACTTCGGTTTATTTCCTCCTAGTACGATAAATGGCCTCTAGTCACTTCAATCATTGTGTTTGAATCTGGAGTCGACTGAAAAACGAGGCAATCTTTCTGCGATGCAGGCCCGACGACTGGATGTTGCCGTCTGTTCGGATTTTTCTTATCGCCTGCCTTCTGAAAACATTTACCGCTCTGACGCTTGATCGGCGCTATGATTTGGTGCTGTGGAGAGTTGAGACAAGAGGATGACCCGTCTGACAACCCAGTCCACGCTTATTGGCTGCTGGTGAAGCACTCTTTCTTGCCTTATCTGTCGACTGTCTGGGTGCTGTTACTTCCGGTTGAACCAACGACATTTCCGCTGGCCGATGTTCGCAGGCAGTTGCCATCCTCTTGGTTCTCTTACTTGTTCTCCAATTCTCTTGTACTCCTCAACTACAGTCACTGTCTTGTGCGAACTCAGAATCCTCGACAAGCATTTCACGGAGACTGGACTGTGCAATTGTGCGCATTCATCGAATGCAGCTGCGTTTTGACAAGTAGTGGATGTGAGGTAGACAGTGGACACTCAGGTGTCTTCTGTGTGGCATCAAGG